AACATATTCTCAAATTAATTTTTTTTTTGTCCGCTTAAATTATTGATTTAAAATTGGATGCTGATTATATCTGAGCTTGTGATAACATGAAAATAAAAGTTTGAGAAACTAGGTGGCAAATCATGTATATCTGGATTGGTTCAGACGTGGTTGTAATTAAAAAGTTAGGCGCTAAATATAATATGTACCACTTAGTTCATACTCGATTGTTTACCATCATATGGCAGTAAGCTTGTTTGCCACTATCGTAGTATAAAAAAGTAAAAAAGTCCCAAGTTGGGTGCCAAAATGTGCCTTTTCAGACATGTTTACTATCGTCTCAATTTACGCGGCAAATAGATCAAACTTACTCTAGTGTACACCTCATTGAGGTTGTACTTAATCAGCAACAGCTGAGGCGCTCAGCTATTGACAACTTTATATGTTATTTTTATTTCTTATTTTGTGTATTATTTGTAATTATATTGTGTTATGTTGGCAATAAAAGAATTATCCATCTTCATAAACTGTCTGTTAGTTTAGAAATAAACGCCCGTTTGCCGAACCCGGTCACAGAAACAAAAATGCTAAACCGAATGCACTCGACGTGGGCGGCAAACGCCTAGAGTGCATCGTGCCTTGAATACAAATCACTAACAAATGCATAACGCAGCCATCATATTGCTATACACGAGACAACTACATCTGCACTCAATATTTCTCCACACTCCTTGAGAGACTACAACAATCATCGGCACTAAGATAGATTCCTTAGGAGTTAGTTAGAGACACGTATATAGATAAAGAAATAACCTTTATTCAAATATATTTAATACTAGCTGTACACGCGACTTCGTCCGCGTATAATTTAACTTTATTTTTCTAAAATAAAAGTAGCCTTAGTTACTCCTTAATACATCTGCTACCTGCCAAAAAATTCCCGTCAGAATCGGTCCAGCCATTTCAAAGATTAGCCGGAACAAACAGACAGACAGACAAAAATTGTAAAAAAATGTTATTTTGGTGTATGTGCCGTATTTATGTTCATATGTATGTAGTAAAAAACGGTTATTTCAATGTTACAAACAGACATTCCAATTTTACTTATATGTATAGATGAGCGGACTCCGTGAACTCCGTTCGAACAGTTTGTATGAGAAAATTAAATTGTTGTTTTTAATATTTTCCATGCAATTTCTTCACATTTTCTCACCACTTAAACCTTCCTTGGAGTTCTACAAAAACTTCAAAACTACAATTAACCGTATCGGTCCAGCCATTCTCGAATGTTAGCCAGACTGACAAACGTCATTTCATATATAAGATAACAACTTTTTATTTTTTTATAACATATGCAGCAAACAAGCTTGTGGCACACCTGTTGGTAAGTAATTACCGCCGCCCATGAGCATCTGCAACAAAGGGGGACTTACAAGTGCGTTGCCGACCTTTTAAGAAGGAATAAGCTCTTTTTTTTAAGGTTTCAATATTGTATCAGTATCATATAATACTAATTTTATTATTCTACCGTTTTTTGGAAGATATACTCATTACAAGAAAAACGAGCAAGAACATTGCGTATTGCTCTTTCAACTAAATGTTGTTCAACGTTACATATTTAGAATTTCGAGTGAAAACAAACTGCCAAATATCAGGACAAAAGTAAATAAATATTGCTACTTGATAATTTATACGTGCAAAATTTATTACAAATATTTTTATGTTTGTAATTAGTTAAGGTAGAAGCTAGCTAAAATATAACGATATTACCTTGATACAGGTTTAAATATCTCTGTATTTTATTTATTTTTTTCTTAATTACTGGTAACTACTCCTGTAAACCTCGTCTCAACTTTGTCTAACGGGCGCTCTCTCTCCACACCTCTCCTCTATCCCGTATCACATCATTCACTCTTTATCCTGCATTATACACATCTTGCAAGACTTCTCTCTCTCATCCATCCTACATAAATAATGAAATTTTATTAATATTATAAATGCGAAAGTGTGTGACGCAAAAACTACTGAACGGATTTTGGGGAAACATTACAGTAAGATAGCTTATACATCAGAATAACATATCTTATATATAAAATTCTCGTGTCATAGTTTTCGTTCCCATACTCCTCCGAAACGGCTTGACCGATTCTCATGAAATTTTGTGAGCGTATTGAGTAGGTCTGAGAATCGGCCAACATCTATTTTTTATCCCCCTAAATGTTAGGGGTAGTCCACCCCTAATTTTTTTTTATTTTAAGGCAAAACAACGTTTCCGAGACAGCTAGTAGGCTATAAAATTCACGCGGATAAATCCGCAGACATAACTAGTAAATAAAAAACTACTAATTATAGTTCAAAGTTATAAATTTACAAAGTTATATCAAATAACCTAAATATTTGCACAGATATAACAATAATTTCGTCTACAGAAACCCGACGAGGAACGCGAGTATATTTTATTTGTATTCCAAAATCTTATTCACCTGAATTTTAAGGTCGTTAAATAAATGAGATTAGGTGCCCTTACCCCCCTGAGTTCCCCAGCGGACTCCCCGAAGGGAATGAAAAGGCTTTGTGTTATTATGAAAAATAATTGGAGTAACAGCACGCATTGAACTTTCACAAAGGCCGAGTAATACTTGGATATATTTCTGGACATTATTGAAAACCATTTTTATTAATAATGAAAAATATAATATTTATATTGAAATTTGTGTACCAATATTCTTATTTACTCTAAAGGTAATCGGTTTATTTTTATTGTGTTACTAGCCATTCGTTCCAGCTTTGTATGTATATATGTATAGGAGTGAGTTTGTGCATATGTGTATGTATATATATATGTGTAAAGTGTACAATTGTCAAATGTGTATATGTAATAATGGTTAACAATAAATGTTTTTCTTTCTCTCTTCTTTCTTTCTTTGTACGAAACCATTACAATATTTTGAATTTATCGGCTTGTTCTATGCTAACACGCATGTATTATACATATAAACCTTCTTCTTGAATCACTCTATCTATTGTTGAAAGCTGCATTAAAACACATAGTATACATGTGGCACATACAACACATATAATACACATGTAAACACATACATGTGTAGTGGCGTTATGTCTTCCATTTGGCAAAACCTTCAAATCTTTGTTTAGTTCATTCTCTGTTGGACTACTTTCTTAATTTGAGAAAGAATCACAAACACTAATACTTATTTTTACCATAGATAATATAATCTTATTAATATTATAGACGCGAAAGTTTGTGAGTATGGATGTTTGTTATTCTTTCACGCAAAAACTACTGAACGGATTTTGATGAAACTTTACAGTAATAGAGTTTTTTTAGATTAGTATTGAATTATATTTATTGTATATTATATATACTATTATAAAATTTATATCTGACTCTGGCAAACAGATGACATTTTAATTAGAATTTTATACATATTTAGAAAGATAGTGAAAAAAAACCTCTTCTATTGTTTCGTAGGTTTTGTTAACATTGTGAACCTTTTACCAAGTATATACACCTTTTACTACCCCTACAATATATTACGAGGGAAATAAGCAATTAAACAAATATTTATGTGCAACAACAATATATTTCTTCTAGAACTCATAATAAACCTTGCTCATAACAAAATAACATGACATCTAAAAATTACAATTGTGAGAGCAAATTTAAGTTAATAAAAATCTGTAATAAATATTATTATTATAACACTTTTTTATACTACGATGGTGGCAAACAAGCATACCATCTGATGGTAAATGGTTACCGTAGTTATGAACGCCTGAGATGATATAAATTAAACTGTTTAAATAAGCATAGTATTCTCTTTAAAGACCTAACTATTTATCTATTATAAAACATTGGCCGAATATAAATATACTACTTCAGAACGAACCCAGTTGGCGATTTGTTCAATACAAGATTTGTACAAAGAACAGGTTTAAAATACCATCCAACTAAAGATATCCTTATAATTATAAATGCGAAAGTAACTCTGTCTGTCTGTTTGTCTGTCACGTTTCACGCTAAAACTACTGTACTGATTAAAGTAAAATTTAGTACACAAATATTCTAGAACCTAAGAAAGGACAGGCACTACTTTTTAATGCGACAAAAGGGGTTGTAAAGAGTTGAAAGAGGAGATGAAAAATTGCATAGAAGTATCGACATATTAAAGTTAGAAGTTCAAAACTTATTTTTTGGATGTTGATTAAATATAAATAAATATATTATAAAAAAATAAGTAAGTAATTAAAAATGATATCCAAGGGATTCCACGCGGATGAAGTAGCGGGAACACCTAGTAGAGTATAAATTAAAATATATAAATTACCCATTTAAGCAAAACCAAAAAAAAAGGTTATAATTTTTTTTATGTATATTTTATTTGTTATAAAAAAATATGATATTACAGATTAATGTTCACTTTTTCAGTTTTGATTTTATGTTGATTTATTTACATGTTACTAGTTAATATATTTAAAATTTTGTCCTAGGAAATCTTCATTCCATGTGAAGACTTCTACTAGTAATATTTTACAACAAACAACCCTCTTCAGATTCGAACTGGTATTCAGTTTATGTAATTAAGGTCGTATAACTACATACATTCATGGTAGATATAAACTTTACAGTAAAAATCCACAATAAGATAGTAGAAACCTTATCAAAATCTGTGACGTGGTTTAAAAGGAAACGAAAAGCAAAACAGCGACTTTGAGTAATGACTACAAAAAACAATGGGGACACCAAATAAGAAATAAAAACAACGATACATAAAACTGAAGTTTCTGTTTGTAATTTCTAAATAACAGCCTTTCAATAAATGCCTATGAAAGTATATATATATACGGTACTTACATAAATAAAATAAAATTTTAACGAAATGCATATATACCTATGTATTCATATGAAAAAAATCAAAAAATATATGTATTAAATTGTCCGTCTGTCTGTTTGTTCTTGCTAATCTCTGAAACGGCTGAACCGATTTTGAACCTTATATAGGAGTAACTTGCGCTACTTTCGTTTAAAACATTTTATTTATTTTAATATGAAAGAACTGCTCAAACGAAATCGCGAGTAACAGCTAGTTTATAAATAAATAAGGAGAAATGTCAAAATTTTAATATATGTTAATTATTTAAGTAACCTAGCAGTATGTCAGTAGTTCATTGATGCTGCATGGCTTGTCACAGCACTCGCTGACTATGCCCTGGTATCTCTTCCCCCGTGATGGCAACCCCATACCCCTCGCCTTGTGAGGTGTCAGCCACGGCCAGTTCATCGACTCCTGCTCCTTGTAGTATGGTGACAGAATAGCCCCTAAAAATAGAAATAATCTTTATTCAAATTAACTCAATACAAGCACTTTTTAATAGTCATATTTTTTTATTCTACCACTCATTCGGAACGCAGACTCATCACAAGAAGAATGAGCAAAAAACTTGTGTTGCTCTTTTGAATATTTGCTCATTAGAATATATGTTTTTTTTAAATAAATAATTACACAATAACAGGTAAGAGGCATGCGATAATCGACATAGAAACCGCTACGCACTCATTCTTAGTGCAATCAGATAATAATATCAGTGCAACGAACTTTAAGTATTTTCTACAAAAACATTATTATCGTTTACAAACTCTTAAATTTTACAATAATAATTTTTACAGAGAAGCTGTTTTATACGATATTTGAATCTTTTTTCAATTGTAGAATCATTTCACTTTTGGCAACTGCAATCCTTATCGTGTAGTTAGCACATATTTCGCTGAGTATATTTTAAAGCAGGGATACCTACCATCCTCTCTCGGATTAATAATGTCACTGTTACCATCACTGGGGATTCAGTCAGAAATATAAATTGAAAGGCTTTATTTTTGTGTAAGCCAATTTCGATTTCCCAACCTTCGTTATATATAGTTTTTTACTTAATAAACTCGGAAACAATTATTATTAAACTAGCACCCGCGAGTTCGTCCACGTGGAATTTAAGTTTATTTTTCTAAAATAAAAGAATTTTTCTAAAATAGGCTACTTTTAGCCTAAGTTACTCCTTATTACATCAGCTACCTGCCAATAAAAGTCCCGTCAAAATCGATACAGCCATTTCAGAGATTAGCCGGAGCCAACAGACAAAGAGACAGACAGTCAAACGGCCAAATAAAAATGGTATACATTTTTTTTGTTGTAAAAAATGTTATTTTGGTGTATGTACCGTTTATATTCATATACATGTAGTAAAAGATGGTTATTTCAATATTTCAAATAGACACTCCAATTTTATTTATATGTACAGTACAGTATATTTGGGTGTGTAATTTGGTCCAAATTTAAAGAATGGATAATTTATTCACTATATTAGAAATACTGACCCAAGCAAGACACTGTAAGTAGTTGTCTGCGTGGATACCTATTTCAATTGCCAGTTTGCTGTGTAAATTGTATTTTTATTGTAGTGTGGGATTAACATTGACAAAAGGCATGACATCTTAGTCCTTAGTCCAACGTATGAGTAATATCACGGGCGTCACATGATAACAGTCCATAGTGCTATTCGTAAATTTACTTAGTTACTTATCATTTGATAACTAAGTAACTAGCTTTGCGTCGCACGTACACAAATGAGAGTATTGTATACTTCAATAAGTTATATAATAAAATACCAAGAAATATGCTTGAAATCAATCATCTTAATTTGTTTAAAAGATATTTTTTTATATCTAAAAATTATTGTAAAAGTAATAGCTATTTCAATGGTAATTATGATAATATACTATACAATTTAACAATTAAATTGACTGCTTACTCATAAACAGTGTAAACCGTTAAATATTAACACCATTTCTTTATTCAAAAATAAAAAGATTGAATGCTCGATTGATTCTATCAGTCAATCAATCAATAAGTCTTTTAATTACTATCTACGACCAAATCATCTATTAAAAATCCTAATTAACAATTATACTTACTGTACATAGTTCCAATATCAGATTTCTTTTCCACTGCGCCATCATCGAAGCAGAGGACAGCTAGAGCCCGCGCAAGGGTTCTTCCGCAGTACATTTGAGGGTTGACTTCTTGGAGTGGCATCTGACCTCCGCCGATGTGACCCCAGCATATTGAGATCAGTGCAAAGAATGCCAGAGTTCTGATGGACGTTTGGATCTTCATCTGCAAAGCAAACATTTATAATACTTTATTCTTCCATTCAACCTTTGAATGACAGAGGAATTGTGAAGTGGTGAAGGTGGTGAAAACATATACAATATATAATACGCGTCACAATATACAATATACACAAACGTATATAAATTGAAATAGTATAACTAATAAGAAAATATATACTGATAAATTTAATAAAATAATAAATTATTCAATATATATATATACACATATACATATGTATGTACATACACATACAAAAGAAAAAAAATTGTAAATGAGTGAAGTATAAAAAGAGCGCAGTGTTAGAGTGACCCTATAAGGAGCCTACTATATACTTATAGTGCATTTTATTTTGTTGTTGTTATGTTTATTTTTATGTAATGATTTTATATCCAATTTAAAGTATTTTTTTACTACAATTTACATAATATCATCATTTATATGCTACTGTGAGGATCATCAATATTGTGTTGTTATCGACATCTGATGGTAAACGTGATGGAGATATTCAGTGGATTATACAGCTGCAAATATAATTTACTCTCGTTCTGATTCAGTTGCACGTTACATATCAACTGTTAATTAGCAACATGATTACTTATTTTAAATGTCCATCAGATTATACTTTTTCTTCTTAAATCAATGTGCCTAATAAAACGGTTGCCGTAGCCTATTGACGACTGAAACACCAGGGTTGTGTTGCGCGTTACCAACTTTTAACAATCATATCCCTTTCTTGAAAACACCATACTGTTGTCAAGAAAATCAGCAAGTAGTTCATTCCACAATCTAGTGCACGTGCGAGGAAGCTCCTCTGAAACCGTACTGATGAGGTGTTGTAATCAATTTTATTCTATTCTTATTGTCAGATAATTTTAACAGATCTACGCTTTTCCTTCCAATACTAGTACTATCTCTTCTAAGAAGTCTTTAATCAAGGTGCCAAATCTTAGCACCGCCCTTATGACTAATCCAAAAAGATATCTATTTTGCAACTTAGCTTTAGGTATTAATAAATAGCACAGTTTTATAGAAAAAAGCTTAGCTCTAAGCAAGGTGGATGCGCATAGACTAAACCTTTATAATGAATGTATTCAAATGATTGCTTGGATATATTCCTTAGAAAATAGTTACACAAACTTCAACAAGTATCTATTTGTGTCCGTGTGGATTACATTTATTATTCGAAGCTAATATTTATTTATAGTACAGTGGACAAACGAGCTTGCAGCTCACCTGATGGTAAGTTATTACCGTTACCAATGAGCACCCGTAACACCAGCGGAGTTTCAAGTGCATTGCCAGTCTTTTAAGAATATATTATCGTAAATTATGCTAAAGTCAGTAAACTGAGACGATTATACTGCGTCGTTCCCAAATCAAGAGACAAATGTACAGTAATGATGATGTGCTATATATATATTTATATACAGTAGACAAATTATGTATATGCATATTTCTTTTTTCAGAGACAAATATATAATTACAATACACAAAAAACACTCAGAGCAATACAAACAAACATTATAATATAATAATAACCACGTACAATATACATAACGCCATCTAGTCCCAGTCTAGCTAAACAGAGCTTGTATTATGGGTACTAATAATAATATACATATATATAATAATAAATACTGATAGAGTACTTACATTCTTTTTGTAAATACATACATAACATATATAGAAAACACCCAGACCGATACAAACAGGCATACTAATAAATACATCTTTGTGCCGTGAGAGGAATCGAACCCGCCATCATCGGAAGTAAAGCGGTGTGCTAAACCACTAGACCACCGAGGTCGTCGTAACACATGAACATAAATGCTCGCATTATATTTACCTTTTTTTTCTAATTTCCTACCTTTATTTATCCACGTGCTCTCCTTTCGTTCACTTGGTCGGATTATGGCGTATCCAGTCGAATATTGACATTATATAGTCCTTCAGCTCATTAATATTCATTACCTAATATGTCGGGATGAAGAACAACTTGTGGAATCCTAACGAGATGTGATCCTTCAGTTTTAATAGGTCTTCCCGTAGGTATTTGCAAAATAGCTGCCTGCGTAATACCTATATTGCTTTTGCGACGTTATGATTTTTTCTATACTTATTCAATGTTGATACGCAAACAAAAGAACTCGCAACTAATTTTGTTAAATGATCAAAATATATTCTAATATCTTGTTGAAGGTCTTCAAAATTCTATATACCTCTCAGGTTGTCTATAAGATTGTATTAAACGATAAGACCGCCTTTTGTTTGACATATTTACATAAAGTTCATATTTTTCTAAATGTTTTTCTGTGTATAATAAAGAGTTATATTATTATTATACTTTACATTGTTTTATCTGTATTGCATGGCTAATAAATAACTGAATATTAATTAACCGATATCATAGAAAGGCAAGTTCACAAATATAGATTTTATGAGGAAACTTGACTAAGTACTTACCCGTACTTACCCGTTGAACAGTCTATTGGCGGTAGTTGAACAAGTAACACTATCTCTGCCCAGTCTGCATCCGACCATCGCGAAGCGGTTAGTGCAACCTAGTCGATAACAATTTAGAATCTTGCCTTAATAAAGTCATTTATATATCATACTGCGTCACCACCTGGAAAACATAATTATAACCACTCTATATAAGAGGGAAAGAGGATTGTTAGTAATGTGGACTAATAATAATAATTATAATCTTTATTTATACAGCCACAACATTACAAAATTAAAAAGAGAGTACATAATAGTTGAAGTTCATTAGCTAGGTAATCAAATGGCAGAAAGTTGTGCAATACAAAATGAAAACCCTGATATCCTACACTAGGTATTCAGAACACACGGTTGATTCTTTGCTAGAAGTATATGACTGAAGTTTAAGGTTCACATATACTGTAGTAACTCAAGTTGTTGCTCATAAAACAAAAAGGCTGTTTTGCACATATAAAGTGTCTTTAAACTTTAAACTATATAGATATCAGTGCTCTCTTGTCACATGTACTATACATATATTACAAAATAATACAATTGCTAGAAATATACCATGACAGTTTAACCTCCACACTCTTGGAAACCATTATGGTAAATTGCCATTAACTAAAATGGGCTAACTGGGCTGACTTCATGCATTTTATCATCCTCCACTGGTGCCCCGCCAACGTAAACCCTTTGCGCAGGTAGGTGCATCATACCATCGCCATTCATAAAATAAACGCTCTGTGTATATAAAATAATAGTATCGTAAATAGACATAAATAAAATTCTCGTCTCACAATGTTAGTTACCATACTCCTCCGAAACGGCTTGATCGATTTTTATGAACCTTTGTATTCATATTCAGTAGGTCTGAGAATTGGCTACTATCTATTTTGTCATACCCCTAAGTCATAAGGTCATAATAAATAAATGTTAGGGGTGGACAACTCCACTAACATTATATTTATTTTTTGCCAAATTTTATTATTTACTTATAATGGAGCATTAAAAAATATATACAACCCTAAATTTTCACTCTTCTATCACCAACCCCTATTAGTAATAGCGATTTTAATGTATATGGCAAATCAAAATTTGCTGACTAGTTATAATCATAAAAATGCTTCCAGAATTAGTGAAGTCTGCGTAAAAATGTAGATCTAACTACAAACTACCTATTTCATGATTTAAAATTTACATGCCTTAATAACTAGGTTTGTTATTTAAATATGTCGAGGCGTCGCGGCGCCGCGGCGCTATATACCGACGCTTGCTAGTCCCAATCTAGCGCGCACTTAAACCGTCAAATAAGATGAAACGGAGCGTAACATGGGATCTGACATGCCCTCCAAACAACACAGTGTTGCCATACTTCTTTTGCTAGAATTCAGTTCCGCGCCGTTGAACATTTTCATGGAATTCCACCCATATAGGCTTGAAGTACATAATGTGTTACATAATTTATAATCTCACCCATCATAATTACAGGTACATGCATCTACCTACATCAATGAGGTTCGGTAATTAGTTATGATCATTCATTACGGAAGATCTGCTACTGAATAATACGCCTACGTTATCTATCAATTATATAATTTTATTCCTACATACTTAGACATTATACATAGAAAACACTCAGACCGATTCAAATAATCATACTCATGAATACAAATATTTGACCCGTGCCAGGAATCGAACCCGCGACCATCGGAAGTAAGGCGGTGTGTTAAACCACTAGACCACTGAGGTCGTCGAATTCTACCTTGCCCTCTGGGTTACATGTGAATCCTTACTGTCATCTGCACAGGTCATACATTCGATAAGAGGGTTCCCATCCCAAACAATAGATGCTTACCCCAACTCAAATAAAGAACCTAATATACTAAAATATATATATATACAATAAACAGTATATACAAATATACTGACGGCCTCGGCGGTCTAGCGGTTTAGCACACCGTCTTACTTTCTATGGTCGTGGGTTCGATTCCTCGAACGGTAAAACATTTGTATTCATTAGTATAATTGTTTGTACCTAGCTGTGTGTTTTCTATGTATAATATATATGTGTATTTACAAAAAATATATATATGTACCTACTTATATCAGTTGTCTAGTACCCATAACACAAGCTCTAGTTAGCTTGGGACAAGACAGCGCTGTGTACATTTTTTTTTTACATTTTTTTTTCTCAGGACTATTCGTCCTGAGAAAAAAAATGTAAACAAATACAGAATCCAATAAAAATACTTTTATTTTATACATTTCATTTATTTTAACAAAACAAAGGTTTCATTCCATGAATGCGATGTAATAGGTAATAACTAGCAATTTTCAAATTCAAAATTCATTTTAATATAACAAAAAAAGTTTAATTCCACGAGTGCGATGGAATGGGTAATAACTACCAATATAATTAATAACAGACAACTTCAGATAGCTTAATTAGAAATTAGCATAAGTTAAAAAAATAAACCTGATATTACTACGACCAAATTTCTTGAAACCAGTATGACCAATTAATGACCCTGACACAGTAATTCAAAAATGCAATTCTATGTGTTACACAATATCGAAAACAACGTGACTGATGACATCCATGAGAAAAAAAATATGATGAAGCGATGATGAAGCATCATCATCATCATCACCCGCCTGCGCTAACAATCTACGCTGGCGGGGCACCAGTGGAAAATGATGACATACAACGAGATGGACATGATGTCAAGTCAGTTAGCCCATCATGGTAATTCACCATGAATTTATCACAACGGTTTGAGGGGGAACCACGTGGAGGTCAACCTGACATGGTACATTGCTAGCGATAGGGCTATTAGTCCACATTACTAACAATTGCCTTCCCCCCACGGATTTTGATGAAACAGTAATATAGCTTATGCATCAGAATAACATATAGGCTATATTTTTTATTGAAATCTAACGCGGGTAATCTCGCGGGCACAGCTAGTTTATATATAAAAAAATAAAATTATAAACCAAAGAATAAAGTAACTGTACCACATTATAAGCCCTTCAAATTGTTACAAGAAATTTAATATTAACTATACCTAATACCTATATATAATGAAAATTTATATAGACATCATTCACATATCTGCCTATCCAATTAATGAAGTCTAAAGATAGAAAAGTATGAAACAATACAAAATACTCAACATTCATAAGCGGCTGAAATGTTTTACATGAATAGGTAAATTAAGTTAATTATAAATTACTAGCTGTCCCCGCAAACGTTGTTTTGCCATATAAATAAAAATCGCTATTAAAGAATAGAGGTTGATGATAGAAGCGTGACAATTTTAGATTGTATGGATGCCTATTATTAAAAAAATTGTCCAAAAAATAAAAAATGTTAGGGTTGGACAACCCTTATCACTTAGGGGTCTGAAAAATAGATAGTAGCCTATTCTCAGACCTACTGAATATGCATATAAAATTTCATATAAATCGGTCAAGCCGTTTCGGAGGAGTATGGTAACTAACATTGTGACACGAGAATTTTATATATAAGACAAGAAGAAGAGCGGCACTAGAAGGCAAATTTACCACTAATCCGGGAACATCTGCCCCCGGAGAAGTAGCCGGGATATCGAGTTTCAGAGAAAAAGGATGGATGTCTCGAGAGACATCCATCCTTTTTCTCTTTGCCTCACCTGCACTCTCCCAGAAGAATAAGGAGAACCCAGATTTATTAATTCCAAAATATGTTATAGTCCACATCGTTTAAAAGCATATTTAAATGTAATTTTATTTTTAAAGTACATTAGATAAAAAATTTTTTTTAATAATCTCTATTCCTTGAACTTTATTTTCATATCAATATTTTATTCATAATTTTGGGATTCGTAAGTTCAAAATTTTGGGGAAATTAGTTACTTTGGAGGAAAATCACAGTGCCGTATGGCAACACTGATTTTGACATTGACAGTTTCAATAAGTTTTTTACGTACAGTTTAGCACGAAGTATCAATAAATAAACAAACCTGCTCACTTTACAATCATTTAGCAATTTTATATACCTATACTAGTCAACGCAACCTACTTTACTTACTAAGTTTTAGAAAGTGCCTAACTATGTACACAATACCGTTATTCGTGTTCGCGTAGTGAATTACGAAATATAGCAGTCTGCGCTGTTTCTTGTTGCTTTCTGTTTAGTCCAAATTTTTAAAATCGTAATTTTAGAATGTTAAATATTCTAGATATTATTTTCTTAGGCTTAGCTTTCACTGCGACAATAACTGGAGTTTTAATTAATAATTTCGAAAAACATGTGCCGCCTTTTATAATTAAGGGATATAGATATGGAAGTTTCGCATATAAAGGGTCAGATGCCAATTTTCTACAAGTAATAGAAGTGCCTAAAGCCTGGTACCGGCATTTTTATTTATTTTCTTCTGTGTTCGGAGTGGCAACGTTGGCTTATATGATATTGGTGTACTACTTCAATTTTACTGTAAACCACTTTTTTACAATTATACTGAGATTGTTACTGGAGCAAGATGAACCTGCAGGTAAATATTACATTTTTTAAATATTTACAATAAAAAAATCATTCAATTATTGTAGGATTATTTAATAGAATTGCTTAAAAACTTTTAAACTATTCAGAATAATACACCTGTCTGCCTGGATCACCTGGATTTGTTTTTAAACAGAGGCACTGTTTAAAAATAATCCTTTCTCTACCACAGATTTTGTCATAATTTATGCTAGTTTTTTTTTAAATGTAAATTATGTTTCACAATGTAAAAAAGAACTTATATTACATGATAACAAACCCTATTGTATTAACAAAAGAATTGTTAGTGTTAAATCTTGGTTAGACGAAAATTGGGCAGACTTATTCCAAAAATACTTTTAAATGCATATATTTTACATCTTATATCCCATAAGAATAATAATAATAATAATCTTTATATAAGTGAGTCACTACCCATAAGAGAATATTTTCCTACAATTATTATGCTAGGCATCACGCTATATGCTTTACAATGAATTTTCCTTGTTTTTGGACCTAAAACTATCATTTAGAAAGATTATATAAATTGGCTAAAATATATCAAGTAAGTGTGATACAGAGGAATTTGCTCAGGTCACCTAGTTGATAATAAATTTATTTTCATTCTTATTACAGTGTCAGCGACAGCAGCAGTGATTGCAATGACTCTACTGACAATACAATGTATAAAAAGACTGTACGAGACATATCTCATCCAAGTGTTTGCCAAATCGAGTAAAATGAATCTCAGCCATTATTTAGCTGGTATTATTCACTATTTTGCATGCATTATAGCAACAGTCGGACAGGCTCCTTTATTCTGTGGTAAGAAATATTTATATGTAATTTTTTTTAAGTAACTGAAATAGCAAAAATCTTATGGCTTACCTGATGTTAAGTGGTAACTTAAGGATGATAATTTAATTAGGAATTAACCACAATTGCTTTAATTAGGAATTAACCACAATTGCTTCCAGCAGGAACCGCATGGAGGTCAACCTAACTTGGTAAATTTCTAGTTATGTTAGGTTGACCTCTACTACACTAGACCCAATTACTAACAATTCCCTTCCCCCCAATCCATCATGTATATAATGTTGTGTGTAATAGAGTAAATAAATAAATTTTGTGATATATCCAATCTATCGTCACTTCAGAGTGCTTGACATGTCATAAGAGTCTGTAATAGTCATGAAATTAGATATTTTGATTAGATATAATATTAGCATTGATAGAGATATGTTTTTGGAATGGTACACCTGCCTGCGCTGGGCCACCAGTGGAGGATGATAGGATGAGCATGAGGTCAGGTTAATCAGCCCATCATGATAAATTACCGTTAACCCCGATGGTTGAATCTTTCCTTCATCATCTACTAGCTACTCGCCCCGACTTCGCACGGGTGTACATGTATTATTATATATATAAACCTTCCTCTCACTCAATCTATTAAAAAAAACGCTGCAAAATCCGTAGCATAGTTTTAAAATTTTAAGCATACATAGGGACGTACAGACAGCGATAGTGACTTTGTTTTATACTATGTAATGATAAAAAAAGATGAAACTAAAGTACTCATGCAGAGGACTTCCATCCTGAAAAGTAATTCAGTAGCTATAACATACCAACCAGCTATCAGTGGCCAATCTCAGCCACTGTCCATGCTATGCTGCAATCGTTCACGCATGTCTGAAGTGTGTTGGAGACCTTGAAACTAGAATATTCTATCCTCTAAAATTATTATTCAAGCCGACAATGTGATAATGAACGTGACAGGTATGTTATAGAATCAATTATGTTGCTTGCACGCTACAACCGAGCAACAGTAACAATGAAAAAACTATATATCGTAACTACATGATGATCTATGGTAGCAAATCCCAGATCTTTCTGGATTATAGATCTATATGTTATTTGAAATAAAAGCTTTTTATTTAACTCAATAAAAGTAAATAGAACGTGGTAAGATGCCATGATTTTTTTTAATTGTATTTATAAATAGAATAGAATAGAAAATCATTTATTCAAATAAACTTACATTGAATCACTTTTGAATAGTCATTACATTTTTTTAATCTACCGCTCATTCTGAAAGCTGTCTCATCACAAGAAGAATGAGCAAGAAAGTTGCGTGTTGCTCTTTTAAATAATTTTATTATTACTTTACATTTTTAAGTTTAAGTGTGTGAATACACCACCAATTAGTACTAATTCAATTAAATACTCAAATAGAAAAATATTGAATATATAACAAACTGGTTAAACAATTAACTGTTAATAATAAGAGGAAATCAGTCATAGTGATTAGAGCAGACCAGTCCCTACAAGCAACACCCAATATATATAACGTCAAATTATAATAAATAAATAACCCTGGACAATTAACACAGCGCCATTTAGTACCACGGTAAGCAGAGCTTGTGTTGTGGGTACTAGACAACTGATATAAATACATAAATTAATTACTTAGTACCTTGCGAGGAATCAAATCCGCGACCATCGGAAGAAAAGCGGTGTCCTATAATACTAGACCACCAAGGCCATCAATTAAAATATACTTTTATTTTTTTTTATACCACTTAGGTGGCACACAAGCATACGGCCCATCTGATGGTAAACGGTTACCGTAGCCTATGGACGCCTGAAACACCAGGGGTGTCACATACGCTTTGCCGACCCTTAAGAAACCTTAATATACCCTTCTTGAAAAACCCCATGCTGTAGTCTCTCGAGAAAACCTCGGCAGGTAGTTCATTCCACAATCTAAGTGTATATACTAACACACTTATACACTCACTAATAATGAACTTCATTTTTGTTACAGGTAATCAAAACAGACAGAACGTTAATTGGAATGATACCCGTACATCAATCTTAGTTGTTCCCTGCTCTATTATATTTCTGCTCTCCTGGTATGAACAATTGAAGACGAATATTATATTCGCGAATTTAAGAAAAGATAAGAAATCCGGTGAGGTGGTCACCGAAGACCATGGTGTACCTAATGGAAGGTTGTTCAGTCACATATCGAGTCCGCACAGATTGTGCGAGATAATTATATATACAGCTTTATTGTTTTTGATACCAACGAAAACATTCTTCTGTATATACCTGTGGGTTCTGGGGAATCAGGTAAGAATTCAAAAATTTGAAGAATTTTGAGAAAATACATTAATTCTAATACTACTAGCTGTGCTCGAGGTTTCAACCGCGTGAAATTTATAACCTATATATTATTCTGATGTATGAGCTATATTACTGTAAAATTTTATCAAAATCCGTTCAGTATTTTTTGCGTAAAAGAGCAACAAACATACATTCATAAACTTTTGCGTTATAATATTAATAAGATAATAGTTTGTCAATTTGTGTGTCTCAAATATTTAAATAATGTACACAAAACACAAAATAGACTTGAATAGAATATATCTTTATTGCTAACTGTGTGGGTATATTTTTTTGTAGTTGGTATAACAATATACAGTGGACCCGCGGTAATCCGGCCCCCCTTGTAATCCGACATTGTCTATTATTTGTTATTGAATATTACTTTGACAATATACTTCAGAGTGCATATACATACATACATATATAACATAGAATCTTATCACTGGATCTGTAATTTGTCGGATTACAAGATACTCTTTTGTAAAAAATTCCGGACTATAAGCAGAGGACCCTTAAGCAGCACTCTATCATCCGACAAATACGATGGTCCGACACTGCCCTGCAAAATGTTTGTCGGATAACCGGGGGTCCACTGTATATGTATATAATATAAAGAATCATCATTGGATCTATAATTTGACGGATTACAAGGTACTCTTTTGTAAAAAAATTCGGACTATAAGGGGTCTTAGGCAGTACTCTATAATCCAACAAATTCGGTAGTCCGACACTGCCCTGCAAAATGATTGTCGGACTACCGGGGGTCCACTGTATATAGTTTATGTATCAACAGTTCACCCTATCGGACATGCAACAATTTACAACATATTTGATTTTAGATTATAGTATAAATTACATTAATTAATTATGTCATGGTATTATTATAAGTATATTGTCAAGACTGTCTATGAACTATATATTATTACATGCTTTAAAATTACGTTATTGTTCTAAAATATTCATTTATGTCATAGAATACATTGTCAAGCAGCCAAGCTCTTAGTCGAGCCTTAAACATTGAATTATACTTAATACTTTTATTTCAACATACTGGACACAAGTCTCAATAAAACTACCCCTATTCATATACATATGTAGTTAATAATTCTAAATTAATATATTTGGGAATTTGATTTGTAATGTACTTACAACAGCTTAGTCCCATTGCTAACAAAAGTAGTTAAGTTTTACCTCCCCATCATCCTCAATAAAACTGCAGGGGATACGTTTATTAATTTCATCCCTTAGCCCTCGCCGTACAATAAATCTCACCGGAACACCATTCCATCAACCATAACAATGACCAATCTTTTGCTAGGAACGACTAGAAGATACATTATATAATGTAGGTCATCTAATTGTCATAGACAAGTAACTTGATGTTTTTTTTTTCAGATACAAACAGCCATCCAAGCTCATGAATGGTACAAGAAGACATTCAAAAACTACCCTACAAATAGGTTCGCTGTATTTCCCCATTTGTTATAAGTTACAACTTTATAAGACTGAGAATTGAGGCCGATTCCAAAACGCCCTTCCCTAAAATTCCAATAACTAGAATTTTATTCTTAATTACGTGAAGCCTTTAGCTTTGAATTATTTATAAACGATCTCTTAATTATCGTAAGAAGTATATTTTACCAATATAGACTACAATTACAAAGACCTTGCTTTATAAACTGTATTTCGTTTTAAGCACATTTTTGTTTTTAAAACTTTACGAATGCACCGCAAAATACAACTCAATAATAATAATTCTAATTGTATACATGAAATAACTTTGTATAAATGTGCTAAACGGCTACATTATTTTTTTTAAAGGATGATAATGGAATGGTGCACCCGCCTGCGCTATTGGTTTACGCTGGCGGGGCACCAGTGGAGGATGATAGGATGAACATGAGGTCAGGTTAGTTAGCCCAACGTGACAAATTCACCAGGAATTTATCCCGATGGTTTCCAGGGGGAACCGCGTGGAGGTCGATCTGACAAGGTACATTGCTAGCAATGGGATCATCAGTCCACATTGCTAATCCCCTTCGCCCCACTAAACTATATTTTTTTTTTATTGACGATAATGTAATGGTGCTTCCGCCTCCGCTAACGGTATACGCTGGCGGGGCACCAGTGGAGGATGATAAGATGAGCATCACGTCAGTTTGCCCATCGTGGTTAAATAAGCAGAAATTAACAAGTTTCCAGGGGGAACCGCGTGGAAGTCGACCTAACATGGTACATTGCTAGCAATGGGGTCATTAGTCCACATTACTAACAATCCCCTTCCCTCCCATGTGTATGATTTTTTTTTTTTTAAGAATGATAATGGAATGGTGCCTTCGCCTGCGCTAATGGTTTACGCTGGCGGGGCACCAGTGGAGGATGATAAGATGAGAAAGAGGTCAGGTAAATTAGCCCATCATGACAAATTCACCTAGAATACTAAACTATATTAGAAGACTGAGACAGATAAATACGTCAGACACGTGAATACGTGTCACGATAAAATGAGGAGGCTATATATTATAACTAGCAGACCCGGCCACGCGTCGCTGAGGCTAAGGTTCTTGAATAACATAATATTGAAACTATAAATTGAGATGTAAGCTATCCTATCTTTCAAGTTGGATCAAATTGCACCCAATGTGCAAATCAAATTTGCAATCGGTTCAGTTGTTTAGGAGTCCATCGCGGACAAACAACGTGACACGTAATCATTATCATTACATAGTATAATTTAAAACAAAGTCGTTGTCGCTGTATGCTTAAATATTTAAAACTACGCAACGGATTTTGGAGCGGTTTATTTTTAATAGATAGTGATTCAAGAGGAAGTTTTATATATATATATATAATACACGTACACCCGTGCGAAGCCGGGGCGAGTAGCTAGTTTTTATATATACTACAATATAATTATAAAGATTATTATGAACTAAATTGAATATTGTTGATATCATTACATTGGTTGAGGGAATGGCCTATTTGTATCACACCAAATTATTGTTATATTTGTATATTTAAGAGATTATATTATTAATATATTTATGGTTAATAATAAAAGTGTATAATGAATTTAAATAATTTATTTGACTACTCACATAGAATTATAAAACATATTGCAAACACACCTCAGATGATAGTTCTTTACTCCGTGATATTCTTATAAAACTATTGTAAATGGAAAACCTCTTACTTGAATAGGAAGCTGAAACAAAATTATGAATTGGTTAATATACACTTACTACTTATTTTTAGAAATAGATTTTTTCACCAGTCAGATTTTTTTTACTACTTTGGTGGCAAAAAGTATACAGCCCCCTCTAGTGGTAAATGGCTACCGTATCCTATAATAACTCAGGATAATTCATAAAGCGCCATCTAGTTCCAAGATAAGCAACGCTCGTCTTATGGTTACTAGACTACTGATGTAAATACTTAAATACATTTTTTTGTAAATAATATACAAAGAAAACACTGAGATTGATACTAATAATCATACTTATGATAAAGAGGATACAAATCGAACTCGCGACTATTGGAAAAAAAAGCCGGGTATTAAACCGTTAGACCACTGACGCTGCCCAAGAAAACTATCACATACTTATTGTATTTTAATAAATATATATTTATTACACTATGTTAAACCGACTCTTAAAAAAGGAGAAGGTTGTCAGACCGCATTTTTTTTTTTGTCATTGGCTGAATTAGGGACAGGCATTTTCTAGTCTACCTCTAGTTGTTGTAACACGTAATATTATATTTTTCGTCCATATAAATAATAAAACAGTGATACATACCTATAGGGATAACCCTGTGTTTTAGCTCTGAATACAGATAACAGCAATGAGAAGAATACACAAACTAGGACTAGTCCCACAATAGATTGCACCCTCCGCTTCCTCCCTTCTGCCGGTGTTCGCAATAATTCTGCATTATTAACACCACCCGCTGCTTCTATCATTAGGATCATGCCTATGACAACAGCGCAGTCTGGTGGAGGAGTTAAGGAACTTATAGTAATAATATTCTACGACAATATACACAGCGCCATCTTGTCTTAAGCAGAACTTGTGTTATGGGTACTTGACTGACTGGTGTGTTTTATTTTATTATTAAAACACTTCAGTTTTCAGCACTTTTACATGTTTTTTTTTTAAATAATAACGTTCTGAACTGTTTACACGTCGTCCTCATCTTTGCACTCTCTTTCACACTCATATATTCTATCTCGCTCACTCGTTAATCTTCATTCACACTCATGTTTGAGTACCATACCATCTCGCTATATACAGCCTATCCACCCGTTAATTATCACACTCCTACGTCACCAATGTGAATCTGAAAAATCTTTTTGCTTAAAACCAAAAACAAAACTGCATTTTTCGACGCACTAATCGAAATCTCTATAGGACACTATCAGGACGGTTCAAAATTGTATTCATTCATTATCAGGATTATATTACCGACTAAAATATAGTGTGTATATTTTTTTTTATCTGGAATAATGAGCAAGCTAACCTATTATAGTGTTCACCATTCGAGTTAAAAAATCTATAGGAATAAGGCAACTGCCACCTGAACTGAACATCTATATAAACATTGCCAATGCCCTCACCATGTGACGAATTACCACGTCATCATGTGACGAATTACCATTCCTATTTAGGAATGGTAATTCGTCACTAGAGACTAACATCCTGTATCCTGTAACATTCAATTTGAAAAATAATGCACAACTATAGTAAAGGATACTTAATATAGCTACAATGTAGCTCTCCAATATAAACTGTCCGTGGGATCCACCATTAATGTAGACAGGGCCATTCTTGGTCCTATGGTAGAATGGAGGCCCTCTAATTTGGTTCCACATTTGCCCGGAGACCATGGCAAAACAGAAGAAGACAGCTGCGACTGCCCACATTTGCTTGTTGTAGAGGAATTCTAGATTGTTCCTGCGTAGGTACAGGAAGCCTGCAATGAGAGCGAACAGCATAGCAAACGCTGCGGCTCCTGAGTAGTTCGGTGGACGGAATACACGAATCTGCAACATGAGCAGGAAACATTTTTATTCTGTTCTCCTATCTGTAATCGGTGTCTTAACAATAAGCAGCTGTATTAAGTTTGTGAAGTCATAATGGAGTATCACCCCAGCGGGAGCAGCCGCTTCTAAGGATTACTACGAAATTACATAATATTGCTTTGCAATTGCATAATATTAACATTTTATGTGCTTAGGGTAATGTCCTTATAGTTCTAATCTAGCAGGAAAAATTAAATTAAATTAATTTATTTTGCAATGTTTGTGGTAACTATATGTATTTGAAGTAGTCCTAAAATTCAGTCTATTCAACATGCAAAAAAAATCTTTAATACTGAAATTTATTAATTTGTATTATATTAAGCTATTATTATATACTATGTATTATATTTTCTACAAAAATTTATTTAATATTTCATTTCATCAATTCACTGTTGGATAATGTTCATGTTGGATGGAAGATCTCACATGGTTGATCATGTGAGATCTATGACTATACAAAAGTGCTTAAAGTTAAGTTTATTTGAATAAAGAATTTTATATTCTATTCTATGTATAAGTACATGTACTTGTGTATAGTCTATGTATGTAATAATGAAAAACAGTTTTAAACTACTTTTAATCAACTAGTACCAACCTGAACATCTGTACGATCTTGAATCCACTTGGCCATAGCCTCTGCGTGAATACCCGCCCTTTCGAAGTCCATAGAGTCGGCTGGTTTTGGCTTGCCTTTGGCAGGAAAATGCATGATAACAGGCGCTGTGTTAAGGCGAAGCTGAAAATTTTAAATTCAAACACCTAAACAGCCATTGCATCACAATGTAAAGTAAAACAAAAGACTATTCAAAGGTGCTTGTATGAGTTATTATTTAATAAAAATTATTGTACATACTTCTTCAGTCATAATTTCAAAGAAAATATTACCAGAGTAAAATTTTAGCCTGTTTAAGTTCAAAATATATAGAATACTAGTTGACCTTCCCAACTATGTCCTTAACACATTTACAATTGGGAGTTTTAACTACAATTTTCTTTGCAACTCTTCTCCTGTTGGTCATAGTCTGATCTTATATATGCTTATGACTATCACAAATAACAGCTTTTTATTTGTAAAAGAATTTTCTTAATTGGTTCAGTAGATCCAGAGATTACACCCTACAACCTCACAAAGTTTAGTTCTTTATAGATAGATAAACAATTTTATTTACCCAATTTATACAATGTTTACAACCTTTGTCCTGCAAAACTTCTGAGGGTTTGACTGCAGAATATGAGTATATTATAATACTATCTGACCACTCTACTTCATATGCATACCACTTATTTGACATTGATCATTACATTTCTCTCAATTTACATAATATCCTTTTAAATTAAAGCCTATGTGTTATTCTGATGTATAAGCTATATTATTGTAATGTTTCATTAAAATCCATTCAGCAGTTTTTGTGTGAAAGAGTAACAAACACCCATTCATCCATCCATACTCGCAAACTTCTGTAATTATAATATTAGTGAGATGTGATACCCATATGATGAGTCATCATCATCATCATCATCATCAGCCCACTGCAGTCCAATGCTGGACATAGGCCTCTCCCAAGGCACGCCACTGGGTACTATCTTCAACTCCTCTCTTCCAGTTTTTACCAGCGACCCTATGTATGTCATCGCTCCATCTAGCTGTGGGGTGTCCTACACTACATTTGCCAATTCACTATCTCCACTTTAGAACATGCCTACTATATATAGTATAGATGAGTATGATGTACAAAATACCAACATACCATTTGGAACACTTCAGAGCCTTCATCAAAGTCTACCACACCAAAGAACAGTTTATTGTTATAAGATGGTGTCATTCTAAATGAATTTGCCACAATCAGATACTCCTCATACACATGTTGACAGATGGTACAGCGGCGGGACGGAGCCATGGCTGTGAACATCACAACAAAGGAGTAATCCCTAGGTGGACTTTTCACATATTCCTTAAACTTGCTCAGATTCAATGATATTAATGCCTTCTTCGATGCTAAGTCGGTTAACTGCTGCACTTTCTCCTCCAGCTGGAAAAGAGTAACAGATGTTTTTTTGTTATATCAGTATATAATATACACTAGCAGATCCGGCAAACTTTGATTTGCCATATAAATTAAAATTGCTACTAAAAGCTATTTTTAGTAGCAATTTTAATATTTACATTCACCCTTCTCACCAACCCATTGGGGTCAGTGATAGAAGTGTGAAAATTAGGGTTGTGTGTATTTTTTAATACTATTGCAAATAGATAGCTGATTCCCAGACCTACTGATTATGCATATAAAATTTCATCAATATTGGTCATTAACATGTAACTAACATTGTAACAAAAATATATTTAATATATATAGTGGTGATCTATCAGATAAGGTATATTGCTAGCTATGAGACCACTAGTTCCCATTACTAACAAAGCACTAGGGCGGGAGGGACTACTGCCACTCTATCGGCTGGCAGTAAACAAAATTTTGAACTGTTATGTATGGATGTAAACTTGTATGTCTGTACCCACCACTAAGCTTGTCATAAAATAAAACAGTGTGTGTATTTATGGATGGTTTACCTTTCTGTTGAAGGATACAAAAAAAACCTATTTTTATGTTGATTTATCCTTGTCTCCACTATTCACATATCTAACATTATACTCCTTGGTACTCTGCCACCAAATGGAAAATATAAATATAACCACTCTATGCAGAGGAAGGGGATTCTTAGTTTTGTAGACTGATGATCCCATTGCTAGCAATGTACCTTGTCAGGTTGACCTCCATATGGTTCCTCCTAAAAACCATCAAGATAATGTCATGATGAGTTAACTGACCTGACCACATGATCATATCTTCCGCCACTGGTACCCTGCCAGCGTAAACTGGCAACGCAGGCGGTTTCACCATTCACCATCACATATCATAATTAAAAAAAAACTATTCCACATTTTTCCATTTAAAATATTTTGACATAAAATTAAAAATTAGAGAATTCCCAAATTTCCTGGATCTAAAAAATTTTGTGTTAATTTATATTTCTGACCGATTTTCCAATGATCGAAATACGAATCAAAAACAAAATTCATCTCCCATTTTTAGCCAAGTTCAAAACATAGACATGTTCAGGATTACGTTCACCACCACGTCCATTGCCAACAGTGCTTCTGAATATTATATCTGGGTTAACAATCACGAAACTATATACATAGAAATAAATTATTAACCGGTGTTTTTCAAGTCATAAAACATACCCCTTTTGCGCGATTTTGCGCTTCTCCACCATAATACGTTAGAAGCACGATGAAACATAATAACGCTTTGTACTTCATAGTAAATTTAAATTTAAATATAATTAGAGATAATATATAGAAAATTTGAAATAATATTTTATTTCTATGAGCAAAACAAGCTGATCGAAACGTCAAATATTTCAATATGAAATGACGTGTTCATGTTCGCGATTTGACAGTGACAATTCGTGTTAATATTGTACATTCACAAAGTTAGGTGCTATTTTCAAATGACATAGACAAAAAGGAATATAAACTAATCTTCCTTCAACTTATCGTCATTCCCTCGTGCAATTTAAACGGGGATCGAAATTACTACCTGAGCCGAGGTTCGAAATAGCGGATCCTCAGATTAGTCGTATCTGGCAGGCAGGATTATGCGGAAGGACCCATTGAAGGGTCCATAAGGCTCCATAAGTCACTTTTCTTCCACGGGGGTTTGAAGTGCTATCTGCATTCGCCCCCTATTATCCGATAAAACTTAAAAAACTAGTTGCGGCCAAGATCAGTAGAGTGAGGCGAAAATAAAATTTAACTTATCTATGTTAAAATAGATTTCATGTGAATAGAAATTTCCCATATTCATACATACATTAGAAAAGAGAAATTGATCTCATAAAATTTCGGCAAAATGTAGTTTATAACCTTTATTATTCAATACTGTGCCACTGAATAAATTTATATATTATAGCTACCCGCCCCAGCTTCGCAGACAAACAGACAGCGAATGCGACTTTTTTTTATACTATGTAATAATGATTACCTTAATATGTGCAGCGTCTATATATATTTTTATACTACGCAAACAAGAATACGGGCCATCTGATGGTAAACAACTTTGGCAGTAGGTAGGTACCTATAGGGGTCTCAGCTTAAAACACTACCTCTCATTCCGGTGATGGCGGGTTCTATTCGCGCATAATAATTATATTTATTTACAAATCTGTGTTGTTATTTAGTAGATATCAAGTTCCTCCGTATCATTCCATATATGGTTTAGAGATAGGTTTATTCAGTGATCGGTATTCAGATATTTCTAAAATTGTCTTATAAATTGAAACACATACCAAATTATTAATTTGTTTAATACGTTAGGTACCAAACAGTACAAATAGCTACATAACCTTGAGTAATTCAACCATATCAATTCTATGGTTCTCGTTGAAAATATACTTCACTCTTAACGGTCAGCAACAAGCACGTGACAAGACTTGTTTCCGGCGTCCATAGACTATGTATGTAGGTCTACCATAAGATGGGACGGTATGCTGGTTTGCCGCCATTGTGGTATAGTCAATGATATAGTATACTTGTTTAATATAAGCCTTTTATTACAGAAAAAAGCAAGCCTACTAACAACCAAGTAGGTGAATATCGTTTAATAGGTCAAAATTTGTCATTTTGTTTTTCCTGTATAATGTTGATCTCGGCCATGCCAATTTCAATCTGTATATTTATTTCTGACGAAGAGTGCATATTATACTAGTTGACCCGCGCAACTACGTCTACATCACTTTTAAATTTACATATCTTTTAAATAACAGCCGATATGTATGCTATATTACAGAAAATTTTCAACAAAATCAGTTAAGTAGTTTTTGCGTGAAAGAGTAACAAACATCCATCCATACTCACAAAATTTCCCGTTTATAATATTATTGAGATATAGAACTTCGATTAATTATCGTTTCCAGGTGTATTTTTAAACTCTAGTTGCAGAACTATTTATATTATAAACATAAACGGATGTGTGTAAACATGCATTTTTCTGGATCATGGATCTCTCAACTATAGGAAGGTGTAGACTAAACAAAATTTAAAATGGATTCAACAGAAACACTTGATTCATAATTTACAGTAGTTATTTTCAAAATATTTTATTAACACAATTCATTCAATAACACCAAAGATTATAACATTATCTAACATGAACCTAAAATAAAGTACAATTTACCTAGATGTATTTACTTACCAATTTATAATCATTCAAACATCATTTCGACTATGAGGTATACAGAATAAATATATTTGAATTATTTCACATTATAAATTGTCAGAAATGTACCATTTTAAATATCTATATGATTACGATAGTGCAGTGTCTATAGACATGAAAGCATCTGGCTAGGCTGCCTTCCTAATATTATATTAATACTTTCGTTCGTAAGATCGTGAAAGGAAAATAAAACACACAGAACAATCAAGTAAGAAACAAAATAATATGGAATGTACAAATCATGTTTATTTACGGATTCCTGGCAATACAATGTTTGTGACTCGCTTTCGATTTGTCACTCGATAGTAATAGTTATAAACATCCACAGGGCCATACAGTTCCATAGGATACATACATCCACTAAAACACTGAAAGCTATACAGCATGATTACTTAAGCCAGGTTTAACCTCAACTTCTCAGCAATAGAGATACGGTACACAGTACCCTGGGGGTTTTAACGGTTCATAAATTATGTTAACGTATATTGGACTTAAATTTCTACTCTAACTGTACATTAGTTTCGCCTTAATGCTAAAATAATCTAAAAGTGATATCGTCAGATTGTATGTAGTATTCGCGAGGGATGGAACGCGCAAAAAAAATTGATATGTCGTAGGTGAAACAAAGTCCCCCTGTCACCGAAAATGAAATACAACTGCGGCAATAAATTAAAGTTAAATTAAAGAGTGTCATCGCGCGGTAGCTTTTATAAAACATGATTGGGATTCGAATATTACGATCGTATTATAAAATTGAAATAGAAAAATTATTTATACAGTTCGCGGGTCGAGGCACGGCGCCACCGCAGCATCAGGGCGGCGCGGGGCCGGACACCGGCGGGAAAATATAAATATGATTAACGTTCAAGTATACTCAACAAGTAATTACTATACAGGGTGTGCTCCGAGGCCCTATGCGGTGCCGCTACCGGCGACGACTTCCCTGTGCGCGATGACTGAGCAGATTCTGGCGCAATGAGCATAGAAACTCGGAGCACGGCGACGGGAGAAGAGTGTGCTCAGCAGATTTACTGTTTCGTGTATAAGTAGATGGCTACGATGAGACCGTATAGACCCAATACTTCTGCGAAAATGAGAATGAGGATCATGCCGACGAATAACCTAGGCTGTTGCGCGGTACCACGTACACCAGCATCACCCACGATGCCTATGGCGAAACCGGCCGCTAGACCTGAGAAACCTACGGCGAGACCAGCACCCAAGTGGATGAACCCTCTGAAAAAATAGATAAAACATTTCTTTAGTATACATATCAACAAAATTGACTTATTATCTAAATAAATAAAAAACGGTCTCTCTGCCCACCCCGTAAAGAAGCAGACTATAAGATAAAACTATCAATTATATAATCTCACAATAATGACGGTAATAATCATCATACAATGCAAGGCTTATTGTTGCAGTTTTTCTATTAACTGCATAAAAAATGGATTCTCATTCATTATTCACATAAATCGTTCCAAAACCAGTTGAATACACAAGACTAAACAAATTAAACAAAATAAGGCAAACTACTAGTGACCCACCATTTATTCGCTTGGGTACTCATAATTGTGCATTTTTAATTGGTGTAATGTTCTCTCTCTTTTTAATATTACTATAGACAAGTTTTTTTATTATTTTATTAACAAGCTCCTATGATATATTGATACTTCTTATCATTGTGATTGTTGTGTGTGATCAAATAAAATTATATAACACAATCATTATATAATATTATTTAATTAATGTTATTATGTTTAAATATATTTTAATAATTGCAAATCTTTTACTGATCATTTCATTATTGCTTACTTTAAATCACCTACTGGTATATTTCACTTTTTATATAAGAAATTACTAGTTGCACTGCAATAACCAATTTAATATAATTTATAATCTTATCTTGTTTATTCAAGTGCTTACGGCATGATAAATCATTGCATAATTGTAGTATTTTTCTATAATTTTATAAATTTTTACAGTCAATATTTTCCATTGCTGTATAATGCTAAACTCTACATTATATTCATGTTTTCACAAATTTTTCATTGAAGCAGCATTTACAACATCGTTAAAGTTTTTTGCTGCTGCTTGTAGGATGGCTTGTATAATTGCTGGGTCTGCTCTAATAACTACTGATTATTTTGTTACTCAAGTAACTATTTATTTACTTATGTCAACTTTGCTATTTGTCAGTTTGTATTGCTCCAAAACTCTTAAAATGTGATTCTGAACAATTTTTATTATAAAGACCAAGAGCAAGTTTCTTGTTAATTCTTTTTGTGACGAGTTTGTGGCTGCATTCTTAATGAGTGGTCAAAATAAATATGACTATTTAAAAGTGTTTAACACAAATATTATTCATTTATATCAAGGATCTGTTTCTTTTTCCAATTTAAATTAGGTAATATTAAAAATTATAAAAAAGTGTAATTGTAAACATTAACAATTAACTGATGGTCTGTGAATGGTAAAACTCATTGAAACCATTCAATAAAGGCCATACCATGTCAAGCAATTTGCCTGTAACCTTGTATTACGTCATGACAGTCCATTGAGAAGCTGCAGGAAATAGCAAAACCACTGAAGCACGATGTTTGCAAAAAACATTGTACAGTCTCTATTATAATCATTAGATAACACTTTTGTATTACATAATTATAGTTCAAAAAATTGGCAATGTAGGACATTTATCTATCTATACATATAAAATAAAATTGTAGTGTCTGTTTGTAATAACAGTTTTTATAATAATATTGAAATAACCGTTTTTACTGTTTTCACTACATGCATATGAATATAAATACGGTACATACACCAAAATAGCATTTTTTTTTAATTTTTGTCTGAAATGGCTGGACCGATTTTGGCGGGACTTTTTTTGGCAGATTGCCGATGTAATAAGGAGTAACTTAAGTAAAGCTACTTTTATTAAAAAAATATATTTTATTTTAGAAAGAAGCGGACGAAGTCGCGGGTTCAGCTAGTACATAATAAAAATGTAACTAATCTCTTTTTGTACATGGTAGATACATATGATTGAAACTATTATTGGGATGACTTAATTTATATATTTTTTAATTCTGCTAACATCAGAAATATTTAGTGCAGAAATATGACCACCCTTACTGG